GGTGGTTGGGCACTGACCAGGCTCCCCAGGGCTGCCAGAGCTCCAGGAGGGCTTGGACAACACTCTCAGGGACAGGATTTTGGGGTGTCCTGGGCAGGGCCAGGAGCTGGGTTTGGGTGATCCCTGTGGGTCCCTTCCAGCTCAGGGTGTTCCGTGGCTGGTTTGGGGTCTGGGGCCTCCTGAAGGGAGTTTAGAAGCTCTCACATGGTGGAGTCTTGCAGTGGGAAAAAAACCAGTTAAAAGGGTGTAAAAGAGAGTTGGTTGGAGCTGAGCAGCACAGGGTGAGGGCTGGGCAGGGCAGTGAATCCCTCTGTCCAGAGGCTGCTGCCTGGAGGTCCCAGGAGGGCTTTGGAGCCTTTGGCTGAGCTCTGGTTCTTGCTTGGCCGCTGTGCAGGTCGGGCTCAGGTGCTCCTTTGGTTTAAGAGCCCCCTTTAAGCTGTGGGAACAGCTCTGAAGCAGCTCTGGGGTTTCTGCTCTCCCCAGGTGATCCCGACGTGGAACATTTCCCCCATTAAGAAGGCGAACGAGGTGAAGGTGAGTGGGGTCTTCTGGAGGGCTGGAGCAGCTCCTCTCTGGGCTTTGGGCTGTTCCCTCAGTCAGAAATCTCTGCTCTGACCCTGTTAATCCTCCCCATTAAAAGCTTCCCACCCTGGGACAGCAAAAATTCCTGTCGCCCAAAACGTGACAAATCCCCCCCAGGGTTGTTACTTCAATTTTACTTTTTTCTATTTTTGTACTGATTTCTACCTTTTCCCATAAAATATTTGAGCGAATTGAAGAACTTTGCACGGCCTCTGGCTGCTTGTGCACATTTCCCTGTTCAAAGGCAGGACACGGAGCCTTTCTGATGGGATTTAGTGCCTCCCATAAGTGAAGAAATCACTTCTCTTGTGCTGCAGCCACCCCAGTTTGTGGACATTCCCCTGGAGGAGGATGATTCATCTGATGAGGAGTACCAGCCTGATGATGAGGATGAGGATGAGACTGCAGAAGAGGTGAGTGCAGCCTGTGCAGAGGTCTGAGGCAGGAGAGCCCTCTTTATTTTAACACCCGTGAGTCATCCCGGACCTTCTCGTGATGTTCCTTTGTCGCTCTGTTATTAACCTGGCTAAAAAAGAGCCTCTGAGATGTTGGCTGGAGCAGAGTTTGAGGCCCTTCTGCCTGTCTTGCCCTGCAGAGCCTGCTGGAGAGTGATGTGGAGAGCACGGCCTCCTCCCCTCGGGGGGCCAAGAGGTCCCGGGCCCGGCGCTCGTCCGACGAGGAGGGGGGGACCCCCTGCGAGGTAACCCCGGGGGGGAGCCCCTTCCTCCTTCACAACCAACTCACAGGCCTCGTTCCTGATTTATTGGCCCCAAATCCGGGTGCTGGGTGGATTTGGGGTCCCCCTGCCTTGGCTGCTGCGTGGCTAGTGAAGTCCAAAATAAGCCCTTAAAGCTCTTGGAATGGAAACAGTTGTCTCAGGTGATAGTTATTGTCTCAGATAATGGTTATTTTTCTGGTTATTTCTGGGAGGAGTGCGGGGGAGTTGCTGTCTGTGCTTGGCTCAGGAGGAGAAAGTGGGTTTTGTAAAAGCATGAAGGTGTTTCTGGTGACTCTGGACACCAACACCTCAGTGGGAGTGGAAGGTGCAGAGTGATAAGGACCAAGGATCAGCAGAGAAGGGCAAGACAGTGCCTGAGAGCTGACCCTGCAGTCAGAAAGAGCAATGTTGTATTGATAATTCCCCCTTCTGCTCACCATGGGTTTGGATTCTGCCACAATAACTCGCTTATCAGCTCTAGAAATGTTGAGGCTGATACTCAAACCCTCCAAATATCTCCTTTCCTGCGAGTCTTGACGTTATCTCTGTGCTTTCTGAGAGCCAAAGTGAGTGTAACACGAGGAATCCATTTCCTCCTGAGAAGCTTTTCCCTCCTTCCTTCTTGTGCCAGGCCAGGAAAAAAACAACAACGAAAAAAAAAAGAGACTTTATCCTGTCCTTGGAAATCCGTGCTCTAAATCCAACCTTTTAACACCAAGGCCTTTCTGACTAGGTGGAGAAGGTCACTCCTCCTGCTGTGAGGCACATCAGTGCCGAGGTTGTTCCCATGGGGCCTCCACCACCTCCCAAACCCAAGCAGAGCAAGGACAGCACGTTCATGGAGAAGCTGCACGCGGTGGACGAGGAGCTGGCCTCGAGCCCCGTGTGCATGGACTCCTACCAGGTACAGCCCGGGGGGTCACTTGGGCCAAAACTGGGCAGAAATCAGGTGGATTTCTGGTGCTTTCTGCCCCTGCTTTCAGTGCATTCTGCTCTCCTTTAAATCACAAATGGAGCCCTGAGCAGGCTGGGCTGGGGGAGGGTGTCCCCTGTTGGGACAGGGTGATCTTTAAGGTCCCTTTAAGGTCCCAAACCCTTCTGTGGGTCTGTGATCCTGTGGAATTGCATCTCCACAGTGGCTCTGTGGGAGAACAGAAGTAGCTATAGTGTCTATATGTATAAATATATATATAAAATATATATATATTCTATAGATAAAGAAGGAATGTTGTCAGTGACATAGACTTTTAGTTTCTTGTAACTACACTTTGTGTTTGTGCCCACGAGTCTCTCACTGCCTTTATTTTGGCTGTTAATGCACCTCTCTGACATTTACAGCACTAAGGAGAATAGTTCTCCTTTTTGCAAGCAGTCCTGTTGGCTGAGTTGTGTTTTGCAGGAACAGTTTTTACTATTTACTATTAACTGTTTACTATCAGCTCTTTACTAGCTGAGGAAATTGGTTGTCCAGTTTATTGGGAACTGAGCTCAGTTCCAAATTGGAGCTGAGGAAATTGCTTGTCCAATACCATTTACTATGAACTATTTACTATTAACTGTTTACTATTAACTGTTTACTATTAACTGTTTACTATTAACTGTTTACTATTAACTGTTTACTATTAACTGTTTACTATTAACTAACCCTTTACTATTAAGTATCTATTTACTATCAATTGTTTACTATCAACTCTTTACTATCAACTATTTACTATCAACTATTTACTATCAACTCTTTACTATCAACTAACTCTTTACTATCAACTAACTCTTTACTATCAACTAACTCTTTACTCTCAACTCTTTACTCTCAACTCTTTACTCTCAACTATTTACTATAAACTAACTCTTTACTATCGACTCTTTACTATCAGCTCTTTACTATCAACTGTTTTCTCTCAACTATTTACTCTCAACTATTTACTCTCAACTAACTATTTACTATTAACTATTTACTATCAACTAACTATTTACTATTAACTATTTACTATTAACTATTTACTATCAACTAACTATTTACTATCAACTATTTACTATTAACTATTTACTATCAACTATTTACTATTAACTATTTACTATCAACTAACTATTTACTATTAACTATTTACTATTAACTATTTACTATCAACTAACTATTTACTATCAACTATTTACTATTAACTATTTACTATTAACTATTTACT